GGAATCAATATCGTACCGCAAGCAATCGCTAACAACCGCAAACCGATCGATCCGACTCATTGTGAATCTTCGCCTTCTCTGAGACCGGTGCAAGCAATATCAAGAATGTATTCGGCACTTTCTGCCCTTTAGTTCATCTGGCTTTTGCATGAACATGGAGCGGTGTAGGTACGGAACCTCGGCGCCCTTTTCACCTACCTGCTCAACCTTCTGCTTGCTTCTTGCAGGGGACAAAGAAGGACCAGGGAATCGCATGGGCCGAATGCACCATCGAAATTTTTGTGGATTCACTGATGTGCGAGATGCCGTTCGTGTGCAGTGATGACACTCCTCTGTTCGGGATGTGCATTGAGAGTGGTGAACCGAAAAAGCCACAAGGCCTTGTGTCACGCGATCACTGATGCCTCTTAGCCTGGCTCTTGGCTCTTTCCAGATGATTCGGTGCATTGACGAATATGGATTAGCTAACTGCTTCGTATCACTAACAGATTCGCTCAGTGCTTCCATGGCACGCTGTGGACTGGGTGGAGATTCCAACACCGTAGTAAAACAATATGAAACACAATCTAGCAACTGCTGCCTGCGACAACTGCGAAAGGGAATGTTGCCCTGAACTGGACGATTTCCTCACTCTCCATGCTTTCTTGCTTGCTCGGCGTATGGGGCAGGGGAAGCGCACTTGTGCTGAATGCTGACGCGCGACGCGGTGTGATCCCCGAGCACCGGCAGCACAGCACGCCCAAACTCGTGAACATGTGTAGGATTGCATAAGAGTATGCTTGCTAGCCCCGCCTGTGCTGCTTCGGTGGGCTCGGCTTCACTTGCGGACAGTGAAGCAGAACGGGTCATTGCCGGGAATTGTCGAGTTGCTCAAGCCTCGGGTCCTTGGGCTTGGTTTGCGAACCTCAAACAGAAACTGCAGCTCGATTACTACCTGATTCCCCTTCTTTGCTTTGCTTTTGATCCGTGGCATGAGCCACAGGCAGACCCTGTGTGGAGCAACCCCATCCCCGATTCTCTGGTCAGCTGTATAAAGACAAGGAGTGCCCTCCGGAGAGGTAGCCCAAGTGGGGCCGTATGTTTGTGTGAACAAGGGGAAAGAAAAACATTCTCTAATTACCCGCCTCGCAAGCCGCTTGCGAGCTGCAGGTGCACCAGTCTGAGGTTCAAGGTTGAAAATCAAATCTTGGAACTGACTTCACAAAAAAGACGCATCTCCCTTTTTGCTGTTTGGCAACAGGGTGGTTCACGGAAACCGGGTTCCCCGGCAGCTACAAGCATGTGTCTCACCTGCGAAATTATTGTGCCCATTGCCTTCCTCATCTTCGACGTTTGGTACCCCTACCCGTCTTGTTGGCCGTTCTCATGCACTTCTGCGCCAGTCCCTCGCTGGGAGTCTCAGTGCGTCCAAGTCGTCGCGGCGCATCAGCTGGTCTTGTGGTGCCTTTAGCTTGGTCCCCTGCCGGCGCGAGCCTCAGAGCTGGTCGCTCAGGTGGTCGGGTCTCCTTCATGTCGTACTTTTCCAGGGCTCTGCGCTGTCGCTCGTGCAGGGCCGGCTCCTCGGCGAGGTTACCGGACAAGGGATGGGGTGCTGCCGAAGTTGCTGGCACAGCCCCGGCCTGGCTCGGGGTTATTCCACGAAAGCGTGGTGCTTGGTATTGCTTGGGCTTCATCAGACTTTTTGTTTCCAGTTAACCTGGCCAGCTTGTGCATCGGGTGTCCTGCTGGCATGCCGCCCTCGCGAGTGCCCCTGTGCTCCGGTGCGTTCCCAATTTTGGGACTGCTGGTGCTCGAGGGGGAAGCGGAGGAAGGTTTCCTTCTCGTAGTTGTGGTAGCTTTTGGTGGTGCCGCTCTCGACTTTGACGGGGTCTGCGAGGGTGTCTTAGGTCGCTTTGCTGGGTTCTTCTGGTCTTTCTCGGGCTGTTTGTGGGTTCGCGGTCTCGAGGTCTTTGTGGGTGTACCGGTACAGCGTGTCTCCTCGACTCCGGTGCTGGTAACCTTCTCGGGCTGCTTGTGGGTTGGTGGTCTCGAGGTCTCTGTGCGTGTCCTGGTACCGCGTGTCTCCGGGGCTCTGTTGCTGGACTTCGGTCGGCCTGCTTGCTGTCGTCGGGGCTCAGGTTTCAAGAATGCGTTTGGCAGTCGCATCTGGTCGAGCTTTCGCCGCCTCTACCCTCAGTGCTTAACTCCTTGCAACAGCTTGTTCCCCTGGGCCCGTGAATCGACCTGTCGTCGTCGTTCCAAAATGACGACCTCTCCGTTCTTGGTGTCCCATGGTGTTCGCCTCACATCCTGGGTGTTCTCTGTCTGCTGGGAAGGTGGTCGTTCAGCAACTCTGTTTCGTTCTCGGGCAATTGGTACCCGATCTTCACTTGGTTCTGCGGGCTTGCCTCCAGTTCCGCCCCAACCAAATCTTCGGGAACAGCCGGTGAGGAACTCATTGGGGCCAGGGTGAGAAGAGCACTTGCAAAGAGTGACCTCGGAAAGTTGCAAAGAAGTCAATCACCTTCGGTGGGGTCATCCCCCCAACGTTGCAAGATGTTGCAAGTGCCCAGCATGGCGAGTTCCCTTTTCGGGGCGGGGCGATACTGCGAAGGCCTAGGGCTTCGGCTTCCTTCAGAAATCAGCGAAGCATTGCCCCAAGGGGTTGCCACGCACGCCGGATGGTCTCGATGTTGTGGTGAAGCTTCGAAGCAATGGTATGCAAGTCGATCCATCCCAGTGTTGCCGTAAGTGTCGTGTCCGGCGGGTTCACCAGGGCCGTGGCATCTGCAACCCTGGCACAGTTGGCCTGTTGCGTACTCCACCTCGACATCCCCGGCGAGTGCTCCTGAGGAGTCTTGTGCAGGTAGCCGCCACCTGCACTTTGCGCCTCTTCTCCGGTGGCTAAAGATGTTGAGGAAAAGCTTGCTGGGTGCCCCGTTGTCCTTGTCCACTGTCAGGTTGGCGCTGCGCACGTGTTTGATGCAGTGTTGTATCCTCTGACGCTGCTCGGACTCCGTCTCTCCTTCTTTGCGATGCAACGGTGCAATCGCGTAACCTCGTCTCAATCCAGGTACGAATGTGTCTCGTATGTCCAGATCTAGCCGCAGCTCGAAGACAAACTTGTTGGCCTGCTCGATGACCTTTGAAGCTTCAGAGTCCTGGTGCCATCCTCCTATTATACAGGCTGGTGCGCGCTCTGGTTCGCTGGTGCCCCCTTGCTCAAGCTTGGCGATGCGCGCGTCCATGGTGTCCACCTTGGTGTTCACGGCCGAAAGTTGTTCCCGCTGTCCTCTGCACTTCTCTCTTTGACTCCACAATTTGCCCGACCTTCTCACTCAGTTGACCCACTGCGATGGGAGCTCTCCTCGGAAGAAGTCACGCAAAGCATCCATGGTGACTTGAGGTTGGTCCACTCTACCCCGCTTTTCACAGCAGTAGAGGCCACGGCGAGGGGGCCCCAACAGTGCTGTGCTCTCGGGTCCTGTCGTGCTGCCCAGGCCCCCCCATTCCCCCTTCTTGCGGTGGAATCGGGCATTGCGGTCAGAAGTCGGGTTTGCTTGCAAAGGTTGGTTTGGCCCGTAGAGTGTGCCTGGTGGGAACCCCACCCTCCCTGCACTTTAGCCCGCATCCCGGCCTCATCCCCGTGCTGACTAAGGCACATTCCTTAGCCCCTCACCACGCACACTCCCCCTGCAGAAACAACGGTTGGATACCGTTGCACCCCCGCCTTTTCAAGGTAAACCAACAAATGCAACACAAGACGCGCAGGTCACAAGGACAGGCGGGTTCCCCATCAGGTCAACAAGCTTAAGTAAAACCGGCAACATCAGCAAACAACTAGCGGAACAAAGGGGCGCACTCGTGAAGACAACTGAAGCACGTACATGCGCTCGTCAGCAGCCAGGCTTCCGTAGAAAGGTTGGTTTAAAGCCCTCTACTTACTCTCCCCCACTTCATCCTAGCAACAACAGCTTGTAATTCAAGGGACGGCAGGTAGCGGAACCAACAAGTCATCACAGTTTGTAGGGGAGATTACAACGTAAGGCGTCGTAAGGCGTACAGGAAAACGGTGGGAGAAGGGTCCCCCGTGCTGAGCGTACGTCCTCAGAGTCTCAAAAGCAGTTGGGCTGTGTGGCCCGTAAGTTGTGGCGTGCTTTGCTCCGCGGCCCGTCAGGATTAGGGTGCATTTGCACCAGGGTTGAAGTCCTCTTGTAAACTTGTGGGGCCAAATGCCCTCCTCTGCTGCTCACTTTCTCTCAGTGCTCGAGGGATATCTCCCCCACTCTGGCATGGTCTCCCCGTAGGTGATCTTTGTCTGGTCACCGTTCTTGCCCAAGTCACGGTCTCTGAGGCGAAGGTGTCCTCCGCCCAACGTGGTGGCACTTCCAGGTCGTTGTGGCTAACAGGTCAGGCAGACGGATAGCGAGGTGGTGCGTCTCCCCCCCTTCCGAGCCTTCCTAGTTAAAATTAGTTAAAGACCTTGCGGTGTCACTTTCGCGGTCAGTGAGGTATAGCACTTCGAACTTGCCCTCTTCGATTATTGCAAACCCTCCTTCCGGGCGCGGCGGGCCATGGCGGGCCTTTTAAATAAAGTGGCAGCAGGCGTAGGACTCAAGCACCGCTGAGAGAAACAGGAAGGCTTCCCTTGAGTAACAGTCCAGGTTAAGCCCCCGTCTCCCCCCCCATGCAAGGAGGCGGCACAGGCCTCCATGCAAAGGTGCAGTACTTGAGCCAAAATGGCATCTCTCTCTCTCTCTCTCTCTTTCTTTCTGCAGGGCGTAAGGGTCGCGCAAGCGCCCCCCAGGCTTTCAGCCCGCCCAGCCACACTCTGTGTTTATGGAGTGGCTGGTAAAGGGGTCTTTCCAGATTAGGCAACGAAAAACAAAATAGGCCCCGAGGTGTAAACAGGAAAACCCCCCGAACTCTAAACACGACACAACCCCCGCCTCATCACCGCGCCCCTACGGCATTATCCTCTCTCTCTCTCTCTCTCTCTCTCTCTCCTTTCCCGATTTTCCTCAAGCCCCAGCATCGGCCTTCTCCGCAGCTGCTTTCCCTGCAGACTCAGCGACTCGCTCTTCGGCTCCGGCTGCTTCTGCAGTTCGATGAAGGGTCTCACTTGGCCCATTCGGCCGCTCCGCAAACGACTGCGTTTCTTTTGAAGCTTCTTGGCACAACCTAGTTTCTGCCTTTCCTGTGTCTGGAAGATTTTGCGGGACTGCGGCACAAATGGCTTCCTTGGCAGCAATGTCTATTGCTGCCATGTACTCGTCGAGTGGATCCAATCCTGCCTCGTCAGCCATGCGCTTGACATGCAACATCGGCTCAGGTTCACGCACAGCCTCTGGAGCCAAGGCTTTTGCTAGTAGGCCCTCCATGTCAGCCAAGGGCGAAGCTGCAAGAAGCTCGACCGAGTGGTGAAAGTGCCGGTTGCGAAGTTGACAAAAGCAGTGTACACTGCGCAGGTGGCACAACACGTCCAAATAGCGCAACACAGCGGCATTGGCTCCTTGATACTTCGCACGAGCTTTGACAGGCCACAGGCGATGGCGCGGAATTTGTTGCTGCCTATCCAGATGCTCACAGATCTTCTCACCGTCTCGGATCAGCTTCTCAAGAAGACGGATGCGAGTTTCATCGGCACGAGCTGTCAGCTTAAACAGAATATCCATGGCAACAGAGCGAAACTCCAAGCAGCGATCCAGATCTGCCACAGTACTCACCTGCATGCGGCAGGATGCTGTCGGCTCGAGTCAACCTGATGCGCGGATGCAGCTGTGTAACTAACGGCGGCCAAGTGTCTCCCCACCATCTCCCACTGCAGGATGCCATGTTTGCTGGTTGCGAGATACATGCCTGTGCAATGGGTATTAATCTTCGAGTGTTTTCAGAGCAGGCTAACCGGGTCAAATGATTCGAAGCTCAAACAGCAAGCTGCGGAACAGTCTCTGCACATCTCTGCACAGCACGTGCCTCCCATGCGGCGGAATCGGGTGAGTTGTCAGGCTCGGAATCCATCTCGCACAGCACATCCTTACACTTGAGGAGCCAGCGAACTGCAAGCACGGGTGAACTGCTCCAAGAGCCCCCTCGAGCCGGAGCACCCTGAGCTGCAAGCAAAAGCTTGGGACGCACGCACGAAGGCCTGCTCGGCCCGTGGATCCACGCAGCGTTCTGGATGAATCTGGTTTACCAGACTGCGGTACCTGCAACGAGCTTCAAGACATCATGACGCTGCGCAAACAAAACTAGGTCTCTGCTCGACCGACAAACCATTCCTGGCAACGACTGACCTGTGCAAGGCATCCGGTGGAGATGGACGGATGACCGAGTTGTCACCCAACAGCGCACCGGAGGGGTACCTGCTCTTTAGCCGAGTATTAACGGCTCAAATCTTGCGCGTGGCTGCACCTGTGTAACTGTATGTTGTTGCAATCATCAGCAGGTATCAGAAGGTCACTCGAGACTTGAGCGTTTAGCAGCAAGGCAAGACACGTTTGGATGCATTTTTGAAGGGCCAGGTTCCCGTGCCCACAGCGCACCTTTGAGATTCCAGACTCGTTATGGCATCTCCTTGTGTGTTCAGATGACCAAGAGTATGACAGTGCAGAAAATGTTAGCTTCACCTTTCAAAGTTGTATCTCTGAGGGTGTGGTTTCCCTCTTCGAACATCGCACAAGGGAACGTAGCCGCCAACACCCGCCCGATCGCATCCTCCCTGTCCTCAGATATCAAGAGAACAGGAACAGGAGGCGCAGGCATAGGTGCTGCATCTTTATTGCCTTCTGAGAGTCTCCCGGCTGCAGCACTGCCGGGACTTCCATTGGGAATTTGCAGTCGGCAGGAAGACAGGCCCGAAGCGAGACTGCATGTGCAAATGTTGCTCAATAGAAGAGCATACACTCTTTTTTGAAGCATGTTGTGCTGTCGATCTCTGGGTATGCGGTCGGGTTGAGCCTTGTCCTCTACCTCTTCTACCGCGTCATTTGCCTATAGAATTCTATTGTACTTATGCTGTCGCTGTAAACAGCATTCAGGCAGCCACGGCGAGAAGGCAGAACGCAGGTAATGCTGGCACTTGTTGGGAATTAATGAATGCATTGCCGTGTACGACTGTGTAGATTCAGCGGGGATGACGTAGAATCAATGCTCCGTGCGAGGTGGCACTGATGCAAACGCTGTTTCTGCAAAATCGCGCGTCTTTTCAGACTCAAGGAAGGCTTCAGCTCGGCTGATTTACTCTCAACTTCAAGCTTCGTTTGGGTCTCTACTGTTCTAGTTAAGCGTCGCAGCTTCGCGATGGGGCTTGTTTTTTGGCAGTTTTGTTTGCATTCGTGTGGCTCAGATCTTGTGGCTGCTACCTGGCATGCCGGCATCGTTGCGGTGGCTGCGTGTTGCATCAGCAAAACTTCGCAAGGATTGCCTGCCTAATGAAGACGGATGCGCAACCTGCACCTTTCACTTTTGCTCGGCGCTTGCTGGAGGTCGCAGCACAATCCGAAGCGCTTGCTCCAATCCGTCTGGGAATCGATCCAAAGCCCATTTGCGTGCCATTTTTTGGCGCAGAAGTGCAACTCCTCTGGCACGGCTGGCTTCTGGCAGATGCTCGATCATCTCCGAAACCCAAACAGCCCAAACTCTCGAATTGATGATTTCGGCGCCGAGGATCTGCGATCCGATGCCCCAAAGCTCTGACGGCCTTGATTTCTTCAGCTGCTGGCCACCGAATAGTTGGCACTTGCGTACAAGCTCCAATGTCTGAGCTCGGGCCGTCTCCCCTTCCAGTAGTGACGCTATTAACAGCAACCCGTCCATAGCCCGCAGAATATCCAAAGGTAGAACCGTGAGACGCGAGGTGACCAGCTTGGACACAGCATCAGCCGAAGCCGACAACAACGGCTTGTGCAAGAACTTCAAGCGGCCCAAGTGCTGCGGCATGGCTACCAAATCACGTGGGTCACAACCCACGGCTTTATCAGCGGTAGCGTTGCAGATCTCGTTTAGCAGATCTTGTTGGATAGCTGCATGTTTCCAGCACCGTCCCAATGCCATGAGGACCCGCCTCAAATCCCCAAAACTGAGCTCTTGGCATTGCCCGCTCAGTTGTTGAAGAAACGGAGCTCGGAGAGACTCCGTGGGCAAACCTAACCGGTCCAATGCCAGCATGGCGGTCACGATAGATTTCACTCCTGCTCGAAAGGACAATGTGCGCGCGAACTCCTCGACCAAAGCTTCGTGATGGAAGCGAGCTTTCGACATTGACCAGAGAATGCTGGCCATATCGTGGGGCGAAAGCTCTGCATGCCTGCTTGCGGCTCGAAATGATGCTTGAAAGACATCAATGCCAGTCTCCGGGGACATTTTGGATGCTGCATAAAGCCACCCTAAAACTGGAGCAGAACTCGCCCTCACTTGTTCGGTTACCTCCGAAAATGCAGAAAGTTCTGCACGGGCTTGCTTCACAGCGTTTCCTCCTGCTTCGTGCTTGCTTGCTGGCTGCACTGCCTGTGTCTCGTACATCTCGTACCAATGCGAAACTGACCGTGAAAAGACCTGTAAAGCATACACCCATACATCACTGCGTGTGGCATTTTGTAAGTGCAGACCAACCCCGTGACGGAAGCATGTCATGTCGATGGGCAGGGCAGAACACCTACTTTCCATTGCCAGCCGTGCAGCACAACGAGCGCTTGATCCAGCACGTTGCCCCATACTTGTGGGTCTCGCTGATTTGCCAGCACCATCTGCGAGACTTGGACCTTGGCTGAACTTTTCTATCCAATATCGAAACAATCAAAAGCAATCAGTTTCTGCCCACCCAGCCCATGGAATGATGCAGACTTATCCATGAGACCACAACCGCATCTTTCTGATGATCTCTGCACAGAGCCTGCATGTGGTGGACGCGCACATCCGAATCGACATAATGAATAATGATGTGACATCGACTTCCCTCGGAAAAAGTACAGTGCACGACAGCCAGCCACTTCCCATGTACATGGTCGATTTCGGCAGCACCCACTAACCGTAGAAACGTATTTGTCCCACGAAGACTTGAGGAAAACCAGCTCAGGATTTGGAGTTTCGGTTTACGGGTTACGGTTTCGGCGCTCGCACTCGGACACTCCAGGGCTTACGGTTCAGGGTTTACGTGAGGCGGCCTTTCGCGCAGGCCTTCAATCGCTTGACGTCAATGATCTCGCAGCCAGACTTCGCAAGTGCGTCCTCACGCTGCAGAGCGTGCCAGTACAAGTCCGCAGCACCTTGCGCACTGCCTTCCGTGCAGGGCTCCAGCTCGTCGCGGATGCAAGCTCCGCCGATTCGGCATTGAGTGGCTGGAGCTCCTTTACCTTGCCGCCCGCAGGCTGTTGCACCGTGCACCGCGCCCCCGACGAAACTCGCGTTCCTGCCGCCGAGCTGGACCGACGGTGCGAGCTTTTCCGTCGAGGTGACGGGCCCTGCTTGCTCGCAGCCGGCGTGGCGGCAATGCGATCTGCTGAGCCCGTCGCCGCCCGCGCCAACATGCTGCGAAGCCACTGCGCTCGTCCATCTCGAGGAGCTGTTGGCTGCCGCGCGGGCCCTTGTCACTGTGGCTCTCCCGACGCGCTTTGCAGGCCATTTGCCAAGACCTGTATTCGGCGGCCGCCAGTCAGGGGCATCACCAACCATGTCACGCCGGAGAAAAAACGTTGGAGGCCACTCGTGCCCGGGTTCGTGGCACACGCGTCCTACAGCTCCCCGTTAGCTCTCCAACGCTGCCCCGTGTAGTCCGAGAACACGTCGGGCACGCTGCGCGGTGGTTGGAGTCATGGCGACCTTGAGGGTAAGTGAGACGTTGAACACCTTGTACACCGTTGGGATGTGTCTTTGCTGTAATGTTTGCCTCTTGCATGGCTGTGTACACGAAGCAGGGCAACAGGCCTTTGCTGTGATAGATGCGAAGCTTGGGAGCTCATTTGAAAGCGCCTCCACAACACACCGACGGGGCCCGGTAACAAGACTCGGCAGCAAGAGCTCGGTAGCCGGAACTCCGGAGCCGTGGGTAGTGCGGTTAGGCCACGTGAACCGCCTGGACCTGCCTGGGACAATATCAACGCGCGCGAAGCAGGGGCAAACGGATGCGTCAAAGCAGGACTGGCGGCTCGCTGCCATCCTCGCAGCGGCTCACCAGGGGTGTGGGCAACCAACGCAAGAGGCGATCGCCCGCCACTCCATCTTGCTCATAGATGCGTAGGCATGACTGATCTTCTGCGAAACGGATGCGAAATCAACAAACCTAGTTCTTGATTTCCCTAAGGACGTAAACGTCCAAACTTCCTAGACTATGTAGAAATTCTTGTTGCTTGGAAATCAGGAATTGTGGTGCAAGATCAAGGGCAGGTGCGCAGCTGCATGGTGAGTGAGATCAGTTTGCACTCATACATCAAACATCATCAAACGCTTCGGTGATTAGCTAGCTGGCTCTTCAAGAAACTGTTTGTGCCATGCACGGTTTGTGGGCATGAGTCGGATCGATAGTGCCGCGGGCTAGCAGCTAGCTCAACCATGGCACCCCACGCAGGCCACATATGTTTTCGTTGTTGTCATGTTTGCTGCAGTATCCTGGAATCGACCCTCGTTCGTGGTGCTCGAGCTGTGGTGCTCGGTGTTGAATCATGATGTTTCGTGGGCAGGAGTCTGCATCCCCCAACTAGGGCCAAGTCTTAGGTGGCAATAATCGACATTGAATGCCAGCTGCCACACTCCAACCATTAAATTGAATCAAAAACTTGCCATCAGGACGCTGCGAGGCAAGTCGACAAAAGCCTTGGCAACGTGCCTGAGAAGGGCCGGGAAATGTCGACTTGGTACAAGGGCAGCAGCTGCACCAGCCAATCGGCAGTCAAAGGCCGCTGACACGGAGGCGGCGCCACCAGAATGTTTTTTGACAAATCCTGCCGTGTGGCCAGCGAGCCAAGCAAGCTGACCGCCCGAGCAGTTGAACTCCACAGTTTGGCGCCAACTTCGGTGGGCACTACTTCTCAGCGCGGTTGCACAAAAAATATCGGGGGTGGGGGGGGGCTGCTTAGTTGCTGGTTGTGCGCGCTTGCTGTGTTCACCTGCACTACACATGGCGGCTGACCCACGACGGCCCCGCCGCACAACCGCTCCGGACCGAGCCCGATGATGTGCGCCGGACGTCCCTCGCACTCCCTCGCCGTGCCAACTCACGCGCCCATGCGCCCCAGTTGGGACGGCGCGCGTTCAGCTTCTATGGTCCGCCGCTCGCGAGTTCAGGGTCTCTCTGCGACCTTCAGCGCGCTCCCGTCCACCACAACGGTGCACGGAAGCGGGTGACCAATGTTGCATCGCAGCACACCGCTCCTCCATTCGGCTCCGACGGCCTCTTCCGAACAAGGCGCGCCCACCAGGCCAGGACGACCGCCGCCCCCAACAGCACACCCAAGCACAACCAGACCCAGCAATGTGAGAAAGGCACCCGTGAGGGGAGTACAGAGGCGGTGCAAGATTGCGGTTCTTTGTGTCTGGGTCTGTCATTTTTTTAGAATATCTCTCACTCTCTTTCTCTCTCTCTCTCTCTCTCTCTCTCTCTCTTCTTTTTCTTCTTCTTGTTTTTCTTCTTCTTCAGGGCATAAGGGGAGAGTCAGACCCACCGGCCACATAGGCTTTCCATTTGTTCTGGGGCGTATGGAGGAATGTGAACATGGATTGAATCCCCATGATGAAACGCGAAAGAGATGGATAGTATTGGACAAAAAAATTCGAAGCTCGTCAATCGTTTTCTGACACGTGCAGCCGTTCCAGCAAGCATTTCTGACAAGGACTGAACAACTTAGCTGAAATGGTGTTCCTACATGTTCCTACTGCATACCCTCTCTTTTTCTTTCCCCAAGCTTGAATGCATGCCCCCGTGGAAGCAGCCCGTCTGTTGAAGGGATGCACGGTGTTACGTGCTCTGTCTGTCTCTTCTTCTCCTGGCCATGAAGGGCTTCGAAACCCCCCGGGCACATGGCCCCCCATATGTTATGAGGCTTTAAAGGAATGTAAAACACTAACTGACTATATGAACAGTTCAAGGTTCGCAGTTATCTCACGACATGCTAATGAGCTTTGATGCACCATCACGGGGATTGTGCTAGAAAAGGTTCTGACAAACATGGTAGTCCCCCTTTGCATGGTCATCAACAGCTTCTGTAGGATTCCCGCGTTCCAGCGTAACGCAAAATGACTCGTCGCAATGTCAAAACACCTTCGCTGCAAAACCAGGTTGTGGACGAGTCATCTCACGGCTGCCGAACGGGTCCCCCATTTTACAGTACAGGTGCAGCAAGGTTTGGTGCTAGCTGCTCCATAGCTAGCGTGTTTGCTTGCCTTGAGGGTCAACAAAAAAACGACAGCACTATCAGCTAGTTATTGGGATTAGGCAAAGGCTTGCAGCGTCTGTCTCTCTCTATCTCTCTTTCTTTCGCCAGGCTTGAGGGCCAGCCCCCGCGTGGGCCGCCCGTTGGTTGGCTGCATGCACGGTGTTGCGTGCGGTGAACACTCCACGGCATTTGCTGAACGACATCCGCAACGCTGTTAGCAGGTTGCCAGATGCACACAGTTGTTCTGCATGACATCTTGTCAAGCCCTGCCCCGAAAATCACGAGCAAATCCTACACGATGGAACCATGTTCACAATGACCAAAACTGAGGCATGTCGGGCGTGACTCAGGTGACAAGATTTGGCGGAATTCTTTATTACAGCCCTCGCAGGACTAAGCACAAGTGCTCAGGTTGGAGCATCTTCTCCGTGCTCTTGGAGAAAGAGTCCTGTTCCCTGCGGATTGGCAAGGACTTACCGGCATCTTTAAAAAAAAAATAGAACAAATCCTGCTCCGTATGGGTAGACGGCGACGTACAGGTGCCGTTAGGCGAACTGAGTTATTAGGACTGGTCGGGTGTTACCACTATTGCATTAGTTCGGCCATCACTGCTATTGACTCTTCAACATTCCGTGTGTGGTGGACAAAGCAGGGCCACCCTTGAGCTGCAACCGGAGAAACCACAGGAGGCAGCCATACAAGATCAACAAGGGGGCGTGGGCAGCGCCCTTTCTTTCTCAATGTGCCGGCATGTGCCGAAGGCTGCACCAGCAACGAGCCAGAGCTGATGTGGACCACATTTCCTCCTGCAAGTTCCAAAATTCCCAGCTTGCCAAACCGGCCGCCACGACCTCACCGCCCCTTTCAACAGGCGAGGTCGTAGATCCACTCGTCCAGCCGAAAGGCACCTTGAACAAACAATTATATTTTCTTTCTATCTCTCTCTATCTTTGCTTTGCTTGAAACTTGCTTGCTTGCTTGGCGTGTGAGAGGTAGGGTAGGCCCCTACACCCCCTGCGCGCGAGCGCTGCGCCACTGTCCGAGTTTTGTGTGGGACGTGTAGTTGGTGCTCGGCTAGGTTTGTTCCCCCGACACACCTGTCTCTCTCTCTCTCTCTCTCTCTCTCTCTCTCTCTCTCTACCTCGGGCATCGTGCCCACCCGATGTCATCGGGCACAAGAGTGTGAAGCGTAGGTCGTCACAAAGCTAAGGCCGTAAACGCTGGGACGGCGTGGCTGACCGTACACTCTCAAAGGACACATGCTGACAGTCAACATCTTTCCCCGGATAATTGTTGGGAATGCCCAGCGAACTCTATACGGCCAACTGAAGACACTTCAGTCTCAACTGGAAGAATTTACTGGTGTGAAGGTGAGGTCGGAATCGCAACTGTTCACCTGGAGTATTCAACATGCTCAATGGTTTATCAACCGATTGGAGCTGATGGTAAGATTGCGGCGAATCGACTGACGCTAAGGTACCTGCGAGTGGGAAAGTGCGTGTTCCCAAGGCCGGATCTCAATGGTTCACTGGAGCGTACCTTGGGAAGGACACTGAGGCCGATGAGGTTGCGCTTGGGAATGCAGGACTGTGAAGGGAAGATCCCTTTCTCAACAATGGAATGCATCGTATTTGTTTTTGCGAGCAATCAGACGCGGTCCCAGTGCAGCAGGCTACGGGGCACCACTATTCCCACTCACTAACCACCCCGCAACCGACGAAAGGACCGGCGTCACCTCATGCGCGAGGCAAGCTGCGGGGCTTCGGAGGAGTCAGCGAGGACATCGCTCGATACGACAAAAGCGGCAACACAAGCAGCTCGTTGCGAAGGGGCTGTTCCGCGGGCCGGTGCACACGCAAGCAACCGGATGAAAGTGGCAGACAGCGGCGAGGAACTCTCGCTGAGGTGAGGGGCGAGACCAGTGTCGTGTCAACAGCTCCCCACAAAGGTAACCCATTAGCGATGACCTCAATGCGACGCTCGTCATGCCTGGATGCGTCGAGGCTCAAGTCCCGGACAAGCACATTGGTGGAAATTGCATCGTATTTTTTTGAAAAATGGGGTGCCCTTGCGGGCCTGGGATGGCTATCCCCTCTTGAGCGGGAGGCCTTTCTAGAGGCCGCCGGGCCAGAATTGTTTTCAAGACAAGGCGCAGATTGGGACACCGTGGACTCAGGTTCAGAAGAGCAGGCCTACGTCTTCATTCCCAACACGCTATCTACCTTGGTCCGGCTCCACGTCACATCTTGGTACAGTTGTTGAGCGGACGCGCTTGCTGTGTTCTGGGTGTCGGGCTACGGCTACGGCCTCCCAGATGTGTTCGTTACTGTCCTGCTACCGACGGGTCAGGCAGTGCTAGGAGTGACGGCTTTTGTGCTCTGACGACGAACCATCCTTACGGCCTGTTGTTGATAGGCCAGATGCTCCATGATAGTATGCCATGCTCACGATGTGGTCGAAGCTCCCATCTCTAGTGTATGGATATAATTAGTTTTGCGAACATGCTCTCTTACGGAGGGCGCGAGCACACCATTTTAGGAACTGCGCATGCACATGTTTGATGAGTGCAATGCAGGATAGAGTCGGTGCAGTTCGCAGTGCACGATTCAAGAAGTCATATGCTTGTCTCTGACTTGCAAGCATGACTCAGTTCGCTTTTACACGGCGAAACTTCGTGTGGTATTTGGCTCAAGAACACGAAAAGGATCCGAGAGCTGTTTGGCAACTTTGGTTTCTTGCGACTGGGAGTGTTTGGGGTTGTGACGACGACACAGAGGCCAACGGCCTCTCCGTGCAGAACATAACATCCCCAAACCCTTAACAGCGAATACCTTGAAAGCTTGTGTTACCTTGACTCTTTCGAGTCGTGCCAGACTGCTGGGGCCTTCTGGTTTAATCTCGGGTTCGTAGTCTTGAGGATTTGCGGGTAGGAAGGTCAACACCTGTTGCCCGGGCCGGTACTTTCACTTCCGTGATCCTTTGAGCGCCTGATAATGCAGAGCGATGTGGATGAAGATGCCACTAACCCGTATCATACTCCTCGGAGGGGACAGCGTGCCCTAACGAATATGCCTGATCATTATAGTCCTGTGACAGACACCATGAGTCCAGATCAGAATGCAAGGGCATTGACATCAATAGCCGGTGCTCATAACCAACAGGTTATGAGCCCAAGCGGCTCCGCACAACCAAGCGTGCCTCCGTTCCCCACGGCAGCAGGGCCGTCAGCACAGTTCGGAGGCATTCAGTTCATGCAAGCAACCCGGCTGGAGATCCCGACGTCAATCCTTCAGCAGTTTGCACAGGCAGCTTCGCTGGATGCTTCTATGCTCCATGACCTGAGAGCAGCTGTCATTGAACTGAATGATCGTATGCAGTATAGATCCAACGTTTTGGGAGATGCATGCGTAACGCTCCACTCTGGATACAATATGATACAATGCCATACTGGATAACCTGGACAGGCTCCAACAAGGAATGGAGGCCCATAGTCGTACTTTGGCCTTTGTCATGAATGAAAACCTGTCTTTAAAGCAAGAGATAGAATCCACCGGTGAGCAGCTCAGCACGGACATGCGACAACAGTTTGCAATTGTTCGCGAGCAGTTGAGTGCGGTCCAGATGAAGGCGGAAACGGCCATGATGGGCCCGCAACAATGGCAAGCCCAGGTTGAGGCACACATTGTAACAATTCAAAACAACCTTGAGGCTGGACTCCGGAAGGCCAGTTCTGAGAATGAGACCCTGCGATCTCGTGTTGGTGTGCTTGAACAGGCAAATCAAGAGCGGGAGCGGGAGTGGCAAACTTTTCGGCAGGAGCATCGCGCTTCAGCTGATCAGAAGGGCCGCGACTCAACTGAGGTCCGCACTCAGGTCGATGCACTGTGTGCTACTATGACAGATCATGGGCAGCGCCTCGATGTGATTTCCCGGGATGTTGCAGATCTGCATGCTTCAGTGGCAGAAGTAGAATCATCAGTGTCTCATTTGGAGGGTCACAGCGCGACCATCCGAGAGGAGATCAGGGGTTTACATCAGATTTGCGAGCATTTTGCCGTCTACACTGATGAGGAACCTGTTGTTGGTGATCCGGGGATGGAAGATTATGAAGCAGGGTGGTGGGGTCAGCATAATGATGTAGATGCGATGCCACAGGGTCCGCCGCCTGGCTTCAGGGATCAGCCGGCTTCGACGCCTGCACCCACCGGGGACCACACAGATCCCGCGCAGAATGTGCCACAGGCGGCGCAAACTGCATTCATGCCAGAATTCAGACCTCCAGGACCAAGTGATCACGGAGGTAACACGAGCATCCATCACGGTCGGTGGAAGCTACTTCAGGATGTGCCTGCGTTGAGGTTAGGAGCTGGAGAGCCTTGGGAACAAGGTATGAAGCTTCGTACCTGGTTCAAGCAGGTTGAGACTATTGCGGGAACAATTGCCGAATCATTCGGGGTTTATGTGAAGCAGCAGTTTAGGCTAGCAGATGATCGGCACAAGCAAAGGTTGGCAGGTTTGCACCAGTTGGATCCACCACCAAGGGTCCCACAGGAGGACTCGGAGAGTGAAAACCGGCTTGTGCTACTGCTGATCCGTTGTGTGCCCGCTGAGTTGAAGCAGAATGTCCTTGAAAAGGGAGATGAATCAGAACCGATGCGTGCAATTGCACTCCTTGAAGGGGTATTAGAAACATTGCAACCAGGTGGCGCTGCAGAAATGCAGTCGTTACAAGCTTTCGTTCGGAATCTGAGACCTGTTGGCACTGCAAAGGAGGGTCTGAGTGTGCTCCGACGGTGGCGGCTAGCAAGATCTAGGGCTATAGCATTGGCGCTCCCCCAGGTTGCCTCATTTGAGGAGCTTGGAGCGTTGGGAACACTTGCCCAGACTCTGGAGAAGCGTCATGACCGATTGCGTGCCATGCTTAGTCTGCTGCGAACTAGGCCGGAAATCATCCGGCCAACCCCCGATGGAGTAGACATGATGATCAGCCTTTTGGACCAGCAGTTTCAGCTACTCCATGCCGATGAGCAGGTAAAAACGAGTCGCGGTCGCGGCCAGGAGGATGATCTCGATCCAACGGCAAAGAAGGGCAAAGGCAAGGACGGTAAAGGCAAAGGCAAGGGTAGCAAGGGTGCGGGTAAGGCAGGAGTGCATAGCGTGGAAAACTACGGGAAAGTGTAGATTTGGCGACAGATGCCGATTCACGCATGGTAATCCACCAGCCCCTGGGGGCGCTCCACCACCCAAAGCAAGCCCAACTCCTAAACCCAAGGCTGCCCCAGCTGTAGCTCCGTCGCAACAACCTTGTCTTGCTTGGAAAAAGAATGGGAAGTGTAGGTTCGGGGACAAGTGCAAATATTCGCATGATGGAGAGGCTAAGCAAGCCACGGCAAAACCACAGGGAGCAACCACCACTACCGCGAGTCCATCAGAACCCTTGGTAGGAGCCGTAGCAAAGGCCTCAGCATGCATCACCCGATCTAGGGCTATGAAGGTTATTAGTGGTCTTGAGGAACCGGGTCCAGTAGATCTGTCAAGTGAGGGTGAAGAGTCGCCCGAGCCGTCCGAGCCAGCACCGAGTGAGGAGGAGTCTGAAGGTGTAGAATCAATTCCGGAGGCCGGTGGCCCGCTCTGGGTTCTTGACTTGTCCCTACGGGATTACATCCATTGGACGCGCCCATCGCAGATTCAGGTGTGTGCAGACCGAGATTTTCGTGAGGAGGAGAATCCTAACTCCATTGTGTGGGCAGTCTGGGATGCGATCATTCATGATGAGCTAGATGTAGATGAAACGGGCACCATACCCATCGCGGAGGGAGTGTGCATGATCAAGTGTGATACCACAGTTGTCCTTTGCGAAGATGGGGTTGGAAGGCCCTGCTTTGTGGTTTGGATTCAGGAGGAGAGTTCAGGTCGGGAAAGGCAGCTTGCTTTGGCCCAGATACAGCACCGACCAAGGGTGCGACGTTGGCCCGAGATCCCCGATCCCCATGTACCTGAACTTGCGTATCGTAGGCCCCCGGAACCCAGCAAGGCGGCTCCAGCAAGAGCTCCCGATGCCGCGTCCGCTTACGTGAGGGGCGCTCCACCGGCAGAGGCGCCTACTGTGGTCCTGCCACCAGCACTCCGAACATCATCATCATCATCGTCCTCTTCACACGACCATTCCAATCAGAATCCTCATGCAGCCCAGGCAAGCAGCACTGGTAGGTGTGAGGAGGAGCGATGTGTTCTTGCGGACACCGGTGCAAATGAGCTTATCAGGCCCGTCGGTCCCCAACCACCCGCAAGGTCTAGCCAGGTTCGCCTCACGCTAGCCGATGGCAACACGACATGTGCATGGCGTACGAGGGACGGTGAGCTTGCAATGCCTGGTGATGAGACCTCCTGGATTGTCCCTGTAGGTAGGCTGGTGCAGCTAGGCTATAGGTTTGTCTGGGATCTGGATTTGGGTGCTATGTTAGTGCGGGAGACTGAAGCTGGATGTGAAACCATCCACATGTTCGTCGACAATGGCTTGCCATACATTTACTGGTCGGATTTTGCCCACCTTCGCAAACAGCTGTCAGCCGCTTTCCGAAACCAGAAGAGGAGCTGCTGTGCCGTCGCGAGTAACGAGAGCGAGCCTACGAACATGTTTGTAGCACCGGATGATTTGCATGAGTGTGAGGCTGAGGCTAAGGAGTGTGTGTCCCCAGATTCCAAGGCATGCATTGGAGAGCAAGTCGCAGCAGCCTTCTTGAAGCTTGAGAGCATCACATATGACCATGTTTTGGAGGCTGTCATGAAGGCGGGTTTGAAACCTCAGAGCAAGTCGAGATCCTGTGCTGTAGGTCTTGAGGGTTCAGAGGGCATAAAGACATGGGTGTTTGGTGCTTACGGTCATGGCCCGCACTGCGGCGTGACAACGCGAACCAATCAATTCCCGAACCTTGTTGCCTTGATCAATCGCTTCATGCAACAAGAGATGCCCGCTACATCCTGGTCGTCTTTTACCATATCCCAAGACGTTACCTTTACCCCGCATAAGGACACCCATAATGAACCTGATTCCCTAAACGTGCTTGTCGTGCTGAACCACATGGGCCAGTGCAAGGGCGGCAATTTGTGGATTGAGCAGGAGGATGGCGATCAAATGCGCCAGATCAAGCCGGATCTGAATCTTCGGGGTGTTGTCATGCCGGTGCTAAGGCGTCCAGTGCAGTTCAGTCCAACAAAGTGGCATGGAACCACGCCTTGGAAGGGCACACGCGTAGCATTGTCATTTTTCACGACTAGGAACGTGCTTACCTTGCCGGCAGATGAACAGAGGCGATTGAAGGAGTTGCATTTTCCAACCTGCAAGGCAGTTGCTGCTGCGGCCGAACACATCGCATTCCCCCTAAGCCTGAACCCCGCCGATGACCAGTTTCCTGAGGACCTTGAAGCCAAGACGACAGACGCGACGGTAGGCGAGGGTCAGTTCAGGGAGAATGTGTCGGATGAATTCCAGGATGGCGGGTTGTTTGGAGATGTGTTTCAGGGTCTAGCTGATCCCGATGGTCCGCCCGCGAGCTCCGACATGTGGCCTTTGGATGACGATCTAGCGGAGTATGAGCCTTCGCTTGCAGATCCTGAGGACATTTTCCATGCGAGTCAATTCGATGATCAACCTGGTGAGGCAAGTTCCCGGGAGTTTGCGTTGCCTGCGGCTGCGCCGGAAGCTCCGAAAGAACCTGTCAAGGCGAAACCGGGTCACACACTTGACGATTACCGTGCTAGAGGAACCAAGAAGCCGCACCGCAAAGTGCAGCCGTCCGATGTTGCAAAGGGGGTTCTCTCTCTGGATATTGCAGGACCATACAAAGGTGCACATGATCATTCCAAGTACATCCTTGCAGGTGTGTTCAGACTTGAAGATGGTGCCACTCTCCAATTTGTCCAGCCACTGCAACGCAGATTCTGGTCAGATGTTCTCAGTGGAGTACGTGGTATCTTGAATGAGCTTTCGGCGATTGCTGGTGGGAAAGCGCCTGTTCGAATCCATTCAGACCGTGCCAAGGAATTCCTTTTTTTTTTTGTTTTTTTTGACGTGTGGTTGAGGAAATCAAAAAGGCGGGAATCCATCAGACGAGCACCGTTGGACACGATCCAGCTGCTAATGGTGTTGCGGAGAGAAACATTGGATTGCTCAAGCAGCGAGTTCGTGAGTTCATCATCAAGTGCGAAGCGCCTTCAAAATACTGGCCAATCTTGTTTCAGGAAGCAGCGAGGCAACAACGTGACTTGACATTGGGAAAATCGTGGCAAGGGCAGGTACCATATCCAGGTGACCACGTGGCTGTCAAGATCAACGATCCGGGCCCGCTTGACGTTCGTTCTGAAGCAGGTATTTTCTTGGGTCGGGCTGACCGGTTTACCAATGGTGCTTATGTCGAAGTCAGAAGGAACGGCAAGAGCCTTGTCGTGGTTACTCGACTCCCTGCTATCACCAAGGAGCCAAAGCGACGATGGAGAACATATGAGTCTTTGTCAGGTGATCTCCTCTGGGTCTCAAGCGACGGCCAAGTGCGAGATGCGGATACTATCAGGGATCTGGGCATTGACCTGGGCATCTTGACGGTTGAGGAGGTCCAGAGCGGTCAGAGTCCCTTAGACGGGTATCCACTGGCAGCAGTTTCTACGTCATCATCCCAAATGAAACAACCTGCCCCTGAACATGGCGATAAGGCTGTGAACTGGCAGAAGTATCATCTGCTTTCCTATGAGGAGGAGCAGTTGGCGAATCAAGTCGAGGAGAAGCTACTGGAAGCGAGCACAGCGCCGGCTCAAGCGGAGACGGGGGACATGAAGGGTTTCTATAAGGGTGACAGACAGCAGCAGTGGAAAGCCTCACTTGTGAAGGAGTATGGGAAGATGAAAGATGTCCTTGAGGAAGCGACCCGGGATCAACTACATGGCAGATTGGGCCTGCCTACGGGGACCCGCTTACCTCGTGAAATCCCTTCTAAGGTTGTGGCAACACTCAAACCGAGCGAGGACCCGACGTTGGCCAACGAGGATGGGTTTGCCGAGAAAAGCCGAATATGCGCTTGTGGCAACTTTGAATCAGGAGCTGACAACAATGGTGAACCTTGGACGTCTTCAAACATCCCACCTGAGATTGTGCGGACTTTCGTGTCATTGGCTGCATCAACGGAGAATTGGACTTTGGGGGGCTTGGATGTCGAGGCCGCCTTTTTGAACGCCGAAATTTCCTCCGGAGATCCTGTGATTATTACTCCACCCAAAGTTATGCGAGACCTAGGGCTCGTTGGTGCAGAATCGGTGTGGATAGCGCGAAAGAACATCTACGGACTCCGTCGGGGCCCGACCGAATGGGAGAAGGAGCGCGACACGAAGATCAATCACGCAACCATCCAGGGCTCCAAGGGCGACAATCATTCAGCACTGACTTTCATTCCGATCAACCTTGCCGCTGGCCTGTGGAAGCTGGTAGATGAGAAGGGTGTGGTCGTTGGAGCGTGCTGTTGCTATGTCGACGATGGTCTGGTCGTGGGCGATGTGGAAGTGATCCGAAGAGTCACTGCTTTCATTCAGAGTTTGTGGTCTATCAAGGGTCAGGGTATTCTTGAGAAACCAGGGGTAGGACTTAGCGGAAACCTCGTTGTGAGTGAAACCTTGACCTTGAAGCTCGTTCGGTGCATGCGATTCCTCGGTGCAGAGATTGCTGTGGCGAGTGATGGATTGCAGATTGGACAGGCAAAGTATGTGGCACAAGAACTTCGGGCTCGAGGGTGGCTCACGCTCAAGGGGTCAAGAATCACTACCGGTACCATCGGAGGGCCTTGCGGCGTCTGAGATCCGAGACAATGCGTTCGAAGCTAACATGAAACTGGCCCAAAAGGAAGCTGGAACCTTGATGTGGATTGCACTCCGATCCAGGCCGGACATTGCTGCTTGCTTAGGTGTAGCCAGTACTTTGATCACTTCCAGGCCATCCGAGACTCTGCGATTGTGCAAGGGAATCTGGCGTTATCTTCGAAGCACTTGGGACAATGTGATTCAGTACAATTACGGAGGTCCCAAGGGTCCAGACGACGCGATGAATGATCCATCAGTGTTCCGGATAGTGTCAGATGCCTCTCTCGCTCCAGGGGGAGCTCGTTCGAGGAGCGGCGTGGCTTTATTCCTAGGAAGTCATCTGCTGTACTGGAGGTCTCAAAGACAGGGTGTAGTAGCCTGGTCGGCTACCGAAAGTGAGCTCGAGGCTATGGCTATTGCTTTCCAAGATGGGCTGAAGCTGCACGCAGGCATAGCTGAACTGTCGGGCCGTGCGCCGCGCCTTTTGGCTTTCGGTAACAATTCAGGTGCCATCCAGCTGGTGACTAAGGAGCGCTTTCACGAGCAGACAATGAGAACACGGCATTTCGCAATCCGTTGTGCTTACATCCGAGATCTTGTGTGGCTACATGACATTGAGGTTTTGCATCGCGGGACAAATGAGCTTGAGGCCGATGGACTTACCAAAGTCTTGGGCAAGGCGAAACTGGCAGTGGCGCGTGTGCAGCTGCGGATCATGTGATTAATATGATGGGTAGGTCGTGACAATCGTTCTACTCATACTCTTTTCGCGTGAGGACCACTCTCAGGAGTGGTAACTGCTTTTGTAACATAGACATAGACTCCGAAGGAATAGTCCAGGGTCTGTGGTTAGGGTAGGAAGGCGCAGTTGTTCCCACTGGGGATAAGAACAGAGTCAAAGCTCGAAAAAAGAAAGAAAACAGACCATAGGCTGGTTCACCAAACCCCTACGGGCCAGGGGAGTACGCTGTTGCTTCATCCTCTATGCGCCATTTTTAGCTTTCAGTTTGGAGATCTGGCTGAGTCTGAGTCTCAGCACGTGCGGAATCGCACATGCCGAGAAGGAGGAGTGTTGTTGATAGGCCAGATGCTCCATGATAGTATGCCATGCTCACGATGTGGTCGAAGCTCCCATCTCTAGTGCATGGCTATAATTAGTTTTGCGAACATGCTCTCTTACGGAGGGCGCGAGCACACCATTTTAGGAACTGCGCATGCACATGTTTGATGAGTGCAATGCAGGATAGAGTCGGTGCAGTTCGCAGTGCACGATTCAAGAAGTCAAAGGCTTGTCTCTGACTTGCAAGCATGACTCAGTTCGCTTTTACACGGCGAAACTTCGTGTGGTATTTGGCTCAAGAACGCGAAAAGGATCCGAGAGCTGTTTGGCAACTTTGGTTTCTTGCGACTGGGAGTGTTTGGGGTTGTGACGGCGACACAGAGGCCAACGGCCTCTCCGTGCAGAACATAACATCCCCAAACCCTTAACAGCGAATACCTTGAAAGCTTGTGTTACCTTGACTCTTTCGAGTCGTGCCAGACTGCTGGGGCCTTCTGGTTTAATCTCGGGTTCGTAGTCTTGAGGATTTGCGGGTAGGAAGGTCAACACCTGTTGCCCGGGCCGGTACTTTCACTTCCGTGATCCTTTGAGCGCCTGATAATGCAGAGCGATGTGGATGAAGATGCCACTAACCCGTATCATACTCCTCGGAGGGGACAGCGTGCCCTAACGACTATGCCTGATCATTATAGTCCTGTGACAGACACCATGAGTCCAGATCAGAATGCAAGGGCATTGACATCAATAGCCGGTGCTCATAACCAACACGGCCCATCGCTGGTAGTCGGGAGTTACCTAATATAAAATGCCACTAGACGGGAACTCTGGGAGGCTGCTCTTCTAAGTGCGACCCGCCGTCTGCTAGTTCGTGAATATTGGGCGCAATATGGCGCAATGACTCACACTGAGGATGACGGAAGTCCGATGACCAAGATCTGTGGGCCTAGCTGTCAATTGAGGAAGCGCGGGCAACGCATAGGGAACTGATGGCAAAGTCCAGCGACCGTGGAGATGGAGTTGAGTCGATTACGTTCGTAATGCCACCAGATTTGGGAGTGAAGGACAGAGTGAAGCCTCCTCCTGGACTGGAGCGTGTTGAGGCAGAAGCCAAATGGAACGTTGAGCTTGAAGACATGGTACCTGTAGGTTAGAGTGAAAGTCACTCAGCAGGATTTGTTGCTTCAAGATGGCAATGACAGATCTGCTGCTGAAAAAGATCATGATATATCATGATGCACCTGAGGCGACTCGAAAACCGCTCAGAAAGAGTGCAAGGATTGATCCAGATGCACCTGTGACTGAGCCTTCGACGAAGCAAATGAGGATCTCGGCCGTGCATCACATGATTGCCGGATTGATCACCGCTTGCAAATGGCTTGCGTCGATTGTTGGAGTTGAGGAAGTTGTCGGCAAGGATGGAACGAAGATTGATGTAGAGGTGGATGCCGAGGAAGGCGAATTCGACCAAGAAATGCGACTCTCCGAACCACTGCTGTGGGAGAGTGAGTTTCCGCCTGAAGCTGAGAAGAAAGGAATGATGAAGGAGATAACTTCAATGACGAATTTCGATGTGCATGATGACATGAAGGTTGATGACTGCACACAAAAGCAAATTGACGGTGCCCTTGACTGTCGATGGGTCAGAGTTCGGAAGAGTGAACATGAACTGCGGTGCAAAGTGGTTGTTGTAATTTTTTTTTTCTCAGCACCTTTTTCCGCCTGCCGGAAGGAGTCTTCTGGCGCCTCTGTCACATAGGACCTACTGGGCCGCGGCGCAGGGCTTGCCGCGGACCTTCGCTACCACCGCAGGGGCAAGCGGCTCGGGCCCTCAGGGGCGGCAAGCTGGAGAACTCCGTCGAGCGGCGGGCCTTCGCCGGCCTCCGGCTGCAGCGGATGCCGCCAAGCGCCGCCCAAGGCCGTACTGGCGACTGCCTGCTGCACCGCAACAAAGAGCAGGCTCCACCAACGCCTGGCCCATCCCGCGGTGGCGGCCGCGCGTACGGCTGGGGGAGCGCGGTACGCTTTCAGACGCACCAGGTCTCGCACAAAGACGCGGGTGGGCATTCCAGCGGCCGCCAACCTCGGGGCCTAGCACGACGAGCATCTTGGGCCCGCCGCGCGTAACTTCCGGGTACGCGGCGTGCTTGCGGCGCTCGGCTACTCGCAGTACGGCCCCGTCCACGGCCGCTGCGCATGGCCCCGTGCACGACGAGGTCGAGCCTGCGACGGTCCTGCGCTCCGACATGCGGGGCGGTGGTGTGGGCCAACCATTGTTGTGGGACGACTTGCCCTTCCGATCCCATCGCTTCACGCGCAACCCGCACCCACGCCCGCTCCACGATCTTGGCCCGCCTGGCGAGGAGGCCTGTGCGTGGGCACGCGAGCGCGTGATCGCCGAAGCGGGCAACGACGCCCCCGCAGCCGTGGGGTGGCCCGCAGGTGTTGCTATGCAAGGGCAGAGGTTGTCGCAGGCGGCGACTCAAAGCGATCTGCATGGCGGGCGGTGGGAGCGTGGTGGCCGGCTCAGTCGGGATCGCAGCGAGCCAGGCGCCCGCTTGCGGTCCGGACTGGGAGCGCAGGAGCGCTTGGGAACTGGGAGGCATGTCGGGCAGGAGCGTGCGTTTGCGGAAGTGCGTGTTGAGTGTTCGCGTCGCGCGCATCTGCCATCCATGCGGCCAGTCTCCGGGCCCTGCGTCGTCAGCCGGAGGTGGGCGTGCCCCTTCCAAGAGGGCGAGCCATGTGGGGCAGGCTGTCCAGCCCGCCTCTCGCAGCAAGTCCCGCGCCTCAACTGCCTCGCGAAGGCAAGGGGTGTCTCGGCGCGCCCCGCCCTCCAGAGCCTGTTGACACTGCCTCGCGAAGTCGGGCGCGCGGGCGTGCATGACAGGCAGCGCGTCTGCCCAAGCCGCCCCAGGAGGCCGCCGGTGCGATCCGTTGTGCGGACTGCAGGCCAAGGCCGCCGAGCACTGCTGGCAGCGTGGCGTTCGGCCATGCGTGGGGCTCGAGGAGCTTGTTTTCAGACTGGTGAAAGGGTGAAGAAGACAACTTGTTTGCTTCCACGCCTTCATAAGTCGCAATATGTCGCAATGAGATTGCTTCTCGGTATGGCACTGGCAAAGAATTGGGGCATCACCATAAAATACCATGGGTGATGTCAGCACTGCTTTTTTGCATGACTTGATTATTGCCACCGAAGGAGTTCTACAGGAAATGTCCATGGAGAAGAAGGCAATGTACCGTCTTCGACAGCCGCCATAACTGTGGCAGGAACGCTTCGTGCAGGGCACTGGGGAGACTCGGGGACAGCTTGCAACAAGGGGTGGTGTTCATCGACAGTGGAGTTGCAGCGCACGCAGATCCACTCGGGTGCCTATCGGTCGCTCTGGCGCTGGATGGCGCTCAGTGCATATGGCGAGCCGGCAGCTATTGCCAAGCAGCATCCGATGCGGCATGCGCCGGGTCTGCCAAAAAGATGTGTGGGCAGCATAACGGCAAGATGTGTTCAGGGGGCCGCGGTGCTGTGGCTTCGTGGTAGCGGCGACACGTGGTGTCGCGCGCCAACCTCGACAGCGAACACCACGAGGTGGCAACGCGGCGAGCGCACAAGCTCGGGGTACGTGTCGCGTTGCTTACGCCTCGTGGCTTGCTGTCGGGTGAGGCCGGGTTGACTATCGGCTCCTGGCCGCGGCTCGCCGGAGCGAGTGACTGGGCTGACACAGGTGGTGTCAATTGCAAGTTGAGCCCCATGCCAAAGAGGCAAGCTGTTGCAAACAATCTCTATCCGGCGCGCATCGGGCACTGGGGTAGAGAGGTTCATGTCTGCACGCCTCTTGGCAGACTCGAGCGACGGCTCGCTTAAGCGGGAGGGCACGGGAGGCTACGGCCCCGGAGGTCGCACAGGCTGCGCGGTGGTCACCGAGCGGGTCAAGCAGACCACGGCAGGAACAGAGCCGGGGCGCGAACGGCAGCGCTAAGCGCAGGCGGCGGAGAAGTACCCGAAACTCTGCGGCCGGGATGGTGACTGCTTCGTGAGTCGGGCGGACTGTCAAGCAGCAGGCGGCATGTGGCCCGGCCTGGGACAGCAGCAGCGCTCGGGACGCGGAAGGCAAGGTGGCGAAATGCGTCTCGAACGCGCGCTGGTCACAGGCGCGGGCGGCGTGCCGCTGCCAGCCTCGGAGACGGTGCCCTGGCAGGTCGTGGACAGGTGCGTGCGCTGGTTCTGGGCTATCATGGGCTATCCCAAGCGGTGACGTGGCAACCTTGAGCGGTGAAGTGGTCGGCGGCTTGCGCGGCCGCTGCGACGGCAAGTGAGCCACTGGCATCGAGCGCATGCAGGAGGTTGTCGGCGATCTGCGGTGAGCGAGCTTGGATTGCTGGCAGTGCATCGAGCCAAGAGGCCCACTACGTGGCATAGCGGTCGGCGGTTGCCGAGCAGCCCGAGGCCGCCGAACCCAAGGGCAAGCTGCGAGGTCCGTACTGCAGCAGCTGGGAGCTGGGAGCCGCTGTGCACGAGGGAGCCCAGGCAGGTCGCAAGGGCGGCGTCGAAGTCCGCAGCGAACTGGGCTGTGAGTGCGGCAGGACGTTCCGCAGGAGGTAGTTGGCCTGGGGTGCGGCGCAGTAGTGCAATAGCAGCCACGCCGCCTGCAGGTCTGGAACCTCGGGGA